AAAGCTGATGAAACGTATCTCGACTAAATAAAAATTGTTTAAATTTCTCTGATGACACTCATGCAAACACTGAGGAAGCCAAACTCTGCAAAAATACGTTTTCGACAATTTATTAACAGTCACGCCACCGAGTGTGCTTCACTCAAGCTTCTCGAGCCATTTACGGGAAGTCGGCCAGACACTAACATTCCGCACCATTAAACACTTACCAATGCGGTGACCGTGACAACTCAAAACGTTCATTCAAACCCTCCAACTGCCCTGGCTCATCCTTGGCACACATACTTCTACACGCATCCTACAATGAGGAAACACCAGCACATCTTCATAACTTCGGGACTGGGTCATAATCTCCATATCTGATTGAGGATTCTAGACATCCTCCGAGTCCTCATTTTGCCATCAATCATTCAATTGATTGTTTTTGGTCGGTTTTCGCCGATTTACCGTGACGCACATTGCTGCCGAGACTGGCATGCTGTAAGATACACCCACACAGGTTGAAGCATCTGGCGTAGTTTTTTCATGTCTACTTAAGGTTTGCTAGTGGAAGGCATGCCCGGCTTGGGTTTTGTTGAGATCTTCTCCCTGGAGGTGTTTTTACATGATGCCTTTTAGTAGTTTAGGATAATTATGTGTGTCTGTATTTGGAAATAAGTCTGTGATTTACAGAACGTGGGATACGAGCATAGGGACTTTCCTAATATGCGGTAGATGTGCCAAGTCATGAAATGTTAGCCGAAATGCTCAAATTAGTTTTCGACTGGGAATGATTACTTAAGTGGGGTTGTAATATTAATGATTATGGAGCATGATCCAATGATATTTCTGTTCATGCAGGATGCCGGATTTTAGTGAAATTCATTTCGCCTGCCTGAAAAAGCGCTGTTAAGGGAAAACTTAATGGAGTTAATAAAATTAAGCAGTGGACTTAAGCCACATCGTAAACTTTACAAGCAAAATTAATAACTCCAGAGACATGACATTTTATGACCTGACATTTCAGAGTTTTAGAAAGTTTCATAAATAGAAACCTTTTGAAAGGCGACCTATACCCTTTCTTCGAGTATAAAATTGGAAAAAGTCGTAATTTTCTGCAAAAAGAGTAAAAAATGAATATTTGAATGTACGTTTTCTGTGAGATATATTTGACTTTATAGGCGCATCGTAAATCAGTGATAAAAATTCATACTAAATAAGTGGTCATTTTTTACAGAGTTTACTTTTTGCAAGCGTCCGGAAAGAAGTTCGTTTGAACGTTAGCATCCTGAAGTGACAGAATTATCATGAGATTATGCTGTAACACGCTTCAACACTTCGGTTAACATTTCATGAATTAGCACATCTTGCGACAAAACCCTAGGGAGAATAAGGTTAGGGCCGGGGTTGATGCCAGGTTTGTGGCAATTGCAAACGCTTGTTTTGGAAGTCTCTGATTTTGGAGGGCACGAGAATTGACACCTCCCCTCCCCCTAATATAGTCGATCTTGCGCTAAATCCCACGGAAATTAGGGCAAGAATTGGGTTTGGTGTCAAGTTTGGGGGTTAGGACACGGAAATATGTGCCCCTTCTGGTGCTTAGCGCAAGGCTCAGGTTCATGTTTCATCGATTTACTCATGAAAAGTCAACCGAAATTTTGAAATGTGTTTTCCTTTGAAAAGATTTATTAAGTAGGGTTTTAAAATAAGTTATCCCACAGCATAATTCTACAATGATCCACTTACCCCAGGATGACGGCTTCCGAACGAAACTCTTTCCAAATGCATGCAAAAACCACACTCTGTAAAAACTAACAACATAATTAGCATTAATTTTTCTTGTTGGTTTTCGATGTCCTTAAAAAGTCAATTAGAGTTCATGGAAAACATGCATAAAATATTTATTCTTCTGTTCATTCGGTAGGAAAGCATGTCTTGTTTCAATTTTATACTTGAAGGAAGGGTATAATTTGGTTTTAAAAAGTTTATCGTTGTGAGATTTTTTAATATCGTGAAATGGCCGTTTATAAAACGTCATGTCTCTGCATTTACTAGTTTTGTTCCCTAAGTTAACAATATGGCTCAAGTCCACTGTTAAATTTAATGAACCTAATATGGTCTCCTCCTAATGTCGTAGAGCAATGTATGGTTTTCCGTACGCGGAAAATATACAGATTGTAGTTTGGAAACCCTGAATGCAAGTGTAGCAGCCGGTTGAGTTCGAAATTATTCGGGAATTAGAAAAGTTTTTTAAAACCTATTTAAACCCTTTCTTTGAGTAGAAAATTGAAAGAAGACGTAATATCCTAGCAAATGAGAAAAATATTGAATATTTTAGTGCATATTTTCTATGAAATATAATAGACTTTTTAAGGACATTGAAAATCAATGAGAAACATGCATGTTACGTAAGTAGTCAGTTTTTTTACTAAGTGTGGCTTTTAAATGCAGCCGGAGAGAAGTTTGTTTGAAAGCCGCCATCCTAAAGTAACTGAATTATTATAGAATTATGCTGCACGATGATTGTTTTTACAAGTCTACTTAATTAATCTTTTCGAAACGAAAACACATTTCGGAATTTCGGTTGACATTTCGTGAGTTAGCCCACCTTCAGTATAGTGAATCTTGCAGTACTCGTATACCGCTAACTTCTAGTCGGCAGTTAATAAATATTACGTGGTTAGCCTGCTGTGGCCGATGGACTTCGGCCCAAATATTCATCTCAATCTTTGGTTCGAGCCTGAGGGTGTTTTGCTCTGAAGGCTCTATTCAAGGTAAGTACATTAACTACGGCGGCGATTAAAAAAACTGAAATGGGAGTTTGCAAGTACAAATTCACCATGAAGATCACATCTGCTTCTATGGAAGTCGGTGTTGGATGCTATCAAACCGAAAACTTATACCTACGCGCATAAGTATCTAAGCCTGCAATACGTCTGAAGAAGACGCGTTTTCCCCAAAAAGCTGCGGTTACATATATGTAGGACTCCGATAGGAAATCTCTACCTACAAGAGTGTTATGACAAAAATCCCAGAAAGAAGCAACTGAGGGAGAAATTTTTGGAGAATTGAGACTGCAGGATCCTATTTGCCGATGGCATCACACGAGAAATTCTGAAACTAAAAACCCACTAAACTATGAGAGTGATATCTTTGAAACACCCCACAAAGAACTGAACTTTTTTATTCAGACCAGTGATTCTGCCCGAGCTGTTTGTTCGAAAATACACGAGACCTGTCCTAACGGTCTCATGTGACGCTGTTCTCTTAAGACTGCGACTGCACTTTTGAAATCTACGAAAATATCTTCATGTGTCTATCCTTGCTCGAGATGAAGAAGATAACCAGTGCTGCAACAGATCACGTCATTTGTACTTCCAAGGTGCTAACAAAAGAAATAGAGAGAGGAAGCGAGCAAAGTACAATCTCAGAGAGCGCAAGAGAACAAAAGCATTCTCACAAGACTGTCAGCTGGCGCCCCTACTGATCGGATTGGTGGGTTGACCTCATTAAAGGTGCCGGAACTAGGACTGCGCGGTTTGCAACACACACAGTCAACGCGTACAGTCTCATTTGCCAGTCAGTAGATGATTCGTTCAAACCAGGATAAGGGCGCCGTTGGAGTTGAGATCAAGCCCAAGGGGATCTTGAGCTCTAAGAGCAGCCGGACGGAGTCAAGAACGGGTTCCGAGAAGGATGTCCAATCCAGCTCAACCGGTGGCCGACCTCGACTATCCAGCAACCAGAGCAGCGCCAGTAGCACCACGTACAGCGACTTCCCCCTGCCGACCCAGGTTCAGAAGCCTGCTTTCCAGCCCGAAGGCCAACGGTTTCTCAGCGCCAAAGACCGCTACCGCGACATGAGCAAGTGCCTCGATGACGTGGAGAAAACCATCTACAACTGCGTCAGCCAGAAGGGCAGTTCCTTCAAGACGGACGCTGACCTTGCCGATTACATTAAGTACAGACTCAATGAGCTGTATGGGCCAAACTGGCATTGCATCATCGGCAAAAACTTCGGCTAGTAAGTACACATCTTAACTTTTTGCCATGGCAATAAAGCAGAGGAGTGAGAAGCGGGATTGGAGAGTTGTTAGATTTTCGCTGCCGACACCTTCACGTTGTAAATCTGAGCCAGAAGGTACGGTAATAAGCCTCATCTCCCAACCTACATTTGGAGTTCAGAGACGTGCGGCATGGATAAACCTGAGTGCAGGTAATGTCAAATGGTCCTGTCTCATGAATTGGTCATTTGGGGAAGACGAAGACAGTCTGCCCAGTGCGGGCATCAGTCGAAGATACTGTTCAACTATTTATCTAGACAGTATGCCATTACTGACAAAGATAAGGGAGACTGGAATGGCCATTTCTGGCTTATTAGCCGTCGTCAGCCAGTCATACCCAACCCCGAAATGTGCAGCACCCTTGAGGCTCGAACTCGCGACCTATTAGTTAGAAGTCGACGTCTCTGGGTCACGAGCCCGCTGTCCTGTCGGTTTATCTAGAATAATGAACTCTTGCATGAGGCCGGAAGCTCAGGTCACCGTATATTACATTCAGGTGGCCGAAAGACCTTCCCTGCTTATTTCCTGTCGAGACCCTTCTCTCCGAAGGGTTTCGTCTATTAGGTCTCTCGGACAGCAGTCGCATTGGCTACCAGCACGAAGGGGCTGTAGCTTGCTAAATTCTTCCCATAAAATCGGTTATACTACTTAATTGCGGTTACTTCTTTTAGCTCTATCTCCCACGAGGAAGGCCTTTACTTCAGCGAGCTCATAAACGGACGTCAGGTGGCTGCATTCAAAAGCGGCTAGGTTTACGACGATCAACTTGCCCACTGTCTCGCTTCCAACTTCCAGCTGAATATTAATAAAGTAAACCTAACATCTGCCCGTCTTCTTTTTTCCGGGAAAATAGGAAACCCGATGCGTTCCTGACCAAAGTTGGACTGGCGGGGCTGGTAGACTAATCATTGAGGAGCAAAGACGTCGAGTTAAGTTCTGAAAGAACGGGACCCGGCGGCGAATCTGGTCTGGTCTGTGAACTCACGCACTCCAAAAAGTCGTTGCTGCAGTTTGTTCCGTGACAAATTTCATATTGAACCAGGAGACTAAATCGTACTTTTTATTAGAAATATAGTAACTAACAAATAAACTAAAGAACTGCAGCAATTTCTCCTGGAATAACAGCCTCACCGAAGTCAGTCCCTAGCGCCTCGGACATAATCAATTCTGGAGAAGTTACTCATGCTTTCCTGATTTCAATTCTGAAAAAACAACCAATTGTCAAATAACTGGGCAACAAAATTACAAACACTTGTCGCAGGTTAACCCTGAGTACTGAATATTCCAAAAGAACAGAACTAAAGTCTCGAAAGTTTCCAAAAAGTCCTTTAAGGACACCTGTGAGTGTGCTTCTGCAAATTTGCATTGATTTCAAGACGAAATACAAGTGATCACTGCCCTGAAACCTCGATATGGTTTCCAGTCACCTGGAGCAAGAAGGGCAGTGGAGGCCCAACCGATAATTTCAGACCTGCTTGTCCTCATCAGATAGCCGCGGGCCACAACTTCTTCCACTGAACCCTCTATACTCGAGCCGGGGAGCCTGGGCGCGTGTTTCTCATACCTACTGGGCC